AAAACAAAGTGAAAAAACGTGATTCCGTCACGCTTGGACAGGCCGATAAGCAAAAATGTTTTTTTCGACGTCGATTCTCTAATTTTGCTAGAGATTAACTATTCTTCTCAAAAGATAAAAGCAAATTAGATTTTGATAAGTTTTACTGAGTATATACTTACGTTGTAGATATAGTGGAAGTAGTTACACCTGGACCTAAACAAAACAGATTTTATTTTTGCAGAACAACAAGATTTTTTATTTAGATTTACACAAAGAAGTTTGACCAGCAGGAACTACTGTGAATGTAAGACAGTATTGGTCTGACTGAATACCGGCACTACAAAAAGTTTAAAAAATAAAGAAGAGGAAGTTACTATAATTCTATACATATAATACCTGTCTGTGGCTAAGGCACAATATACCTGAGATCCGATTTGTGAGATTTTTGGCGTCCATGTTTCAGTTATTGTCCAAACATTGGTCGCTCCAACTCGTGTTATATTTCCTTTATACATATACAGTGGTGGCATGGTAAACAGATCTGTCACTGTAGTTCCGTTACACCCTTGTGAAATGCTCAATGTATAATTAAATTGAACTCCGACTTCAATAGCTGTGCATGGTGATAATGTCGAACTAATCGTCGGTTTTAATGGGCAAACAGGTGTGCTTACAATAGTGATTAAAAATTGTAGAGGAACACTGCTAAACGGTGTCGGCGTTGATAGTGTAGCAAAATCTTCAATCATTAAGGCCATTGCATAATATTCTCCTACCTTAGTGCCTGTACTATTAAATGTTAACACACAATCATCATGGTCAAGTGTAGCGCTTGATACCGTTTGACAGACACCACCACACTCGTCAAAAGTAGACGTTTTATTCGCAAAACGACATCTGAATAAAGAATAGTAATTCTCTAACAAAAGTCAAAGACAGAGGATATATCAGATTACCGTATAAAATCATTGTCGGCATCAATTGTCGGAATTGGTATACGAATTACGCTATTAACTGGTACTCGAATAGCTAGAAAAGGAAAGGAACGCAAGTGTTTTACAACAGGTCACTAAGAAAACAAAAAGTTTTCATAGAAGGAACGTTTTTCAGAAGGATAAGGCGATCCTGGAATGAGTGTTGGTGTTTGATTGTGGTGAAAATGAATAAATTATCTGCACATCTATATCCATTCGTTTACATCACTCAATCATCTTGAGGGTGGGTGTGGGTGTGCATGAGAATGAAAAGGATAATACCCACACCCACACCGTCAAGAAAGTACAAATTGAAACTCCGATGATTTAAAAGGGTAGAAACTAAACCTGGATGACAAAAAAAGCTTCGATGTATACATACGTGAAATAATTGTAACAACTGGTGGCGTATTAATCACTCCATTCGACCTGACTGTTAAATTGACACACGTTCCGATTGACCAGAGTGCACCGATTCTATAAGATAAAACACTGGAGTAAGTCCACCACAGTGGTGTATTAGTAACAAGGCTGTGGGTGTGGACTATATCATTAACCACACCCACACCCTACTATCCTAGGAATTTTTTCATAGGTAGCTCACAAAAAGTCTAATATTTTAAATTTATAAGCTCCTGAATATGATCTTTTATCTCAACAACATAAATCGTTAAAAACATGTTAGCTGGCAGGCCAAGCTATGTGGATTAGTTCGATCATCTGGCAGATCACCTCTTAACCTTCGAAACCAGATGTTTGTATCATTATTTGTAAAGTATATTTCACTTCTTTTACTTGCGCTCTATCACCAAGGTTCTGTTTCAATTCTTTAACAATATAAAAATAGTTCTAATAAAATTCTCAAATGAAGACAACACTATACTGTTTGTGTTAACGATATAGTTGTAACATGATGCTGGTATGTAGTAGTCTGATTTAAAAGTATTGATTCTTTTTTGAATACAATAAGAGTTACGTGAGTCAGTGATTTTCAGAAAGCATTCAGTCTCTTGTCCTCTGCAATATATCAGAGGAACATATAATTCTGAGATACCAAAAACTTACGTATACGTTCCAGAAACTTGTATCCCTATCCAATTTCCACTTTGGAACGCCACACAAAACTGCGAACCAGCTGCAATACTTTCAATTGCTGAAATTTGGCCTGAACTTGAACCAAGCAAGGTACTGAAATCAGTACAATATTCACCAATGTTTAAAGGAGTGTAACCGCCGCAAGAACCAGAAGTAGTAACACAACTAAGATAGCCAGCTCCGTTTTCTAATAGAGGCGATTGGTTCGAAATAGCAGCCTGATTACAAGGTGCAGAAGATAGAGTCCATTGATACGATTGTGTGAACATCACGTTAATTTTTGAACCCGCATTTGTGTAATTGATGAATTTCCATGACACTGTTCCACCCTCAAAATGGCTTGATTGAACAGACGAAAAGCAAAGTATTAGGAAGATATATAAACTGCTAATCAGCATTGTCATATTTTTCTAGAACGATAAAAATCATATACCTAAGACTTATTTCTCTTTTCGATTAATATCTAAGTTCAAGTACAAATTTCCCTGAAAGACTCAAGCTTATTGGACGCATATTAATGTACTTTACCGTCAGCGACTTGCCTTATAATGCAATCAAACGATTCTGAGAGAAAGTTTCTTTTTCTTTTACTCTATTATGTCTCGCATTATTGTTGACGTAAAATACAGTAATTGAATTTGTTTGGCTGCTTCACTGAGGAGAAGAAAAGAGATTTGATTGTTTAATCAACATTCATAACCTTGTTGAGAAAGCCTTGAAGAAAAATATTTCTTTCTTGTGGTCACTTATATGTACTTGATCACAGTCAAAAATAATAAGGTATGATCAGAATTTTATATTCTTTGAAAAATGTCTGTAAGAGTGAGTGGGTGTGGGTGTGAGTTTGGGTGGATAGCAGTATGAGTAAATAGAAGAGGTAAACTGAATACTTAAACCCACACCTTCAAGCTGAGGAATAAATTTTCCTGAAGAACTCAATCCTATTTGACGCATATTAATGTACTTTACCGTCAGTGACTTACCTTATAGTGCAATCAAACGATTCCGGGAGAAAATTTTCTTTTTCTTTTACATTATTGTGTCTCGCATTATTGTTGACGTAAAATACAGTAATTGAATTTGTTTGGCTGCTTTACTAAGGAGAAAAAAAAGAGATGTCATTGTATAATCAACATTCATAACGTTGTTGTGAAAGTCTTAAGGGTGGATGTGGTTATTGATATTCAGTTTACCTCTTCTACTTACTCATACCGTCACCCACCCTCGAAAAAAGAAAAAAGTTAAGAATATTATTAGTTTATAAAACCAATGAAACGAATTATTCAGAGAAGCGAACATACAATCACATATACATAAGAGCATTCGAAATTTACAAGCTATTTGAATTTTTTTTTGAATCGTCTCATCTAAACAATTTCATTTTGGTAAGGTCTCCATTTATATCATTTAAAAAAATGTCAAATAAATAGCTTAATTAGTTATATATAGATTGCAAATATATGGTTGAAATATTCAGAAGAACCGAGGGTGTGGGTGTGGGTGAATGTAGGATAACTCTACATCTACACCTAAACCACCCACACCCACCCACATGCTTGGTTAGGTCTATTATATGTGCTTTTCTTGCAAAAGACATACGTCATGATTTTTATTTTAGTTTACATTTCCTTAAAATATGTTTAGTTCATGATAATGATGATTAGTACTTTATTTCGAAATACGTAAATAAAAATGAGAAAAGGAAAAGACAAAAAGCGCTGGATATCAAATAAATGATGCAAGATTATAAAGAGTAAAATATTTTAAAACTTTGTAATGCTCATCACCATGCCAATCGAGGCTACGACAAACAAATTTAAAGTGTTAATATCTAATTTGGCAATTCCATTTTTCACTCCTAAAACACTACAGA